ATGTGTATGTATAACTGATTCTCTTTGATGTAAAGCAGAAAGTAACACACCATTGTAAAGCAATTATACTCCAATAAACATGTAAAAAAAACCCAATCCTTTAAGCCAAGGATTTGGGTAGCGTTTGGGGGATTTGAGAAGAGATGCTGTGTGCAATAAGTGGGATTCACCTTAATATAATGTTTTAAAATGATACAAATAAAGATTAAAATACTTCATGTAAAAAAAAAGATATGACTCAGTATTATTACTGTTACATAAATATTGGAAAACAAAGTAGAACACAACAGTGTGGCATGATATATATTTTTCTAAGAACAAAAGTTTCTTTTATTGAAAGAAATAAGATGTAGTGCTGTGTACATCTCATTCTATCATATCAGGATGTACTAAGTGTCTGTGTGTCTTCTTTTCAATGATGTAAAAATCAGTGGGTTCAGATGATGGCAGACTGATATTTCTACTGAAATGTTCTTCATCAGCACTTTACCTAATGGTTTTAACATCTACTAATAATCATTGCCTGAGTAAAGTATTTGTTATTTTTTTAATTCTATGGCTCCTTTTGCATTTATTAACTGTGATTATTTTGTAAAGTAGAGCTATCCTTCATGAATTATTTGATTGTCCTGAAACACAGTCCCTATAGGAAAGGCAAAATACTTAAACTCTTTCCCTTTTTTATATTATAGCAATTCCCAGAATGATGAATCTTGTATCCAGCAAAGAAAATTATTGATTTTGCATTTATTAGTGTGAAATAATAAATTTTTATATATTATACATGTTTCAATTCATTGCTGTCATTGTTCTTTATGAGCTCAAGTTATCCTGTCTTTTCTAATAGGATGTGATTAAGTCTCCACTTAAATGATAGACTTTATAACCACGATGAGTCCCAATCTCATCCTGTACATTCCTACTGAGACCTTAAATCAGCTATTTCCCCAAGAAGGTTTCTTTTAGTGGTGAATGGAATTTGGAAACCACAAGTTGTGCACTGTTTATTCATTATTTGTATTATTTGTTCATTACAGGTGTTCATTGTTCTTATAAACCTTTACAGTGAACAAAGCTAATAAACAGGCATTTTTAAGAAAAATGTTAAATAAACCATGAATTCATACTGATATTTCTAAGTCAAAGATTACAGGTTTTATTTTATATATGTATGTATCTCTATTCGTTTATTCTGAAAGTATACTCTTTTAATAATTTTAACATTTAAATGTACATACTAGCTATTTCAAAAACAATTATACTAATTATATTACTCACAAGAAGACCAATGAATGTAGATTTAGATGTGTGTGTGTGTGTGTGTGTGTGTGTGTGTGTCTGTGTGTGTGTGGTTTGTCCTTGGTATGTACGTCTCATTAGAGGCATGACATGGGACATGACAGTTCCATACTGTCAAAATACTGAATTAAAATACTTATCTTGGGGCTTCCCTGGTGGCGCAGTGGTTGAGAGTCCGCCTGCCGATGCAGGGGACACGGGTTCGTGCCCCGGTCCAGGAAGATCCCACATGCCGTGGAGCGGCTGGGCCCGTGAGCCATGGCTGCTGAGCCTGTGCGTCCGGAACCTGTGCTCCACAATGGGAGAGGCCACAACAGTGAGAGGCCCACGTAAAACACTTATCTTTGTGGTTATAATTCTTTTATAAAGAAAATATTTAACTTCTCAGTCATCTGATATATAGTTAATTTTCAATTTTTCCTTTTTGTTTGATTTTTAAATTAATGTAAAACATGTATATAATTCCAAACTCAAAACTATGAAACAAGTACATTGAGAAAGAGCTTGCTTGCATATTTGTTCCCACATCCAATTCTCCACTTCCTTAGTAACTAACAATTATTAGTTTTTAGTTTATTCTTCCATTATTTATTTTAGAGAATATTAGCAAATATGTGTTTGTATTTTTCCCACTTCTTACACAAAAGGGAGCATATACTCACTGTTCTGCACCTTATTTATTCACCTAAAATTGCATATTTTTGTAGTCTACCTTAGGAATATATCCCTTGACATAGGATTGCTAGGTCAAAGTGTAAATCCATATAAAATTTTATTGGTTATTGCCAAGTTCCCTTCAATAGAGTTGTATCATTTTGTGTTTGAGAAGATTTTGAAAATAAGAGTTCCCTTGTCTCTGACCTACTGAATCAGACTCTGAGCTTTAGGTTCCCAGGTGATTTGGATGGTGGCCCTGGCTTTTGGAATCTTGTTCTGAAGGAAATTTTAAAGTCTAACATGAAATTAAATCCAATCAGTTGCTCACTTGATATGTGCTATGTATTATGCTTGGCACTAGTGAGAGAAATTCTAAGATGAACATCATATAGTCTCCCTTGGAGGATCTCATAACCTAGATAGTGGAGAAGAAACATTTATATAGAAATCATTGTAACATCATATGATTGCTGGTATAATAGAGATGTATACTTGGTACTAAGGAAACACAAAAGTGCTGGCACAAAAACTCTGTCTATGAGAATTGTACCTGGTATAGATTGGGATATACTGCTCTTAGAAAAAGCAGAGGTATGTATTTAATAAACTGTTTATAAAACTAACTTAATGGATTCTTCTTGAGAATAAATAAACATGAGTTTAACTCTGAATTTATCTCATTTGTATTTGCTTCTTTGCTGGTTTATTCTTTGACATAGCTTTCAGTTTTCAAGTTGAAACTACCATGGACCTCTATAAAGATTTTTGAACCTAAGGTGATAACAACATGCAGAGTCCTAACATAGTGATATTTTCAGTGTGAAAACACTACCATAATTATGAGCATATTGTGGTCTGCATAAAATAATGTTACTCATGTAGTTGACAGGAGAGAAGATAAAAGACAATAAAAAGAGAATTATTTATTAAAAAGATCTAATGTTACAAGAACAGTACACAGAACTATTATCTGACTGTGCCTTCCACATGGTATATACCATTATATATAGTATATATACAGACTGCATACAATATATTTAACGGTTTGACGTGGGGTCCACAGTACCTTTATTTGGGTATGCAAGGCATTCAATTTCATGAAATTTTTAAATAGGAGGAGTCTTTTTCTTCAGAGTTCAACTGACGTTATATAAAACTACAGTCTGTTTAGTGATTTAAGACTGTGTGGTTACTATTCCATCCAAGAAAAAGCTGACTCAGTATAATGTACCTTGATAAGGAATGCTGCTCTGCTTTCTACAAAGTAACAAGTATGTAATACATAAGTACATAAACATTTTAAAACCTGTTTTTAATAGGTTTATGATGCAGAATACATATTCTGTGCATGTTGCATTAAAACATCCTGTATCACTGATTCCTTTAAGAATATATCAGACATTCTGTATTTAAATATTCTGTCAGATATACACCATCCATCAGCTAGTCAGAAATATTGGTTAATTTGAATTTGCTGTGTATTGACATTATATTTCATTGGGCTTTGTTTTACGAGTTTTAGTAATAATTCAATTCTTAAAGTCTGCTAAGTCTAGTATGAACCACCATGGAAAATGAAGAAAATGATTTTATTCATCAAATACGAAGTAAAAATTATTGCCCATTCTTTAATATTCTTGCTGCAGTTTTTTCAGATGCACAATCTGCTCCTGCAAGCTATACCATACTTGGGGGGAACTCATATTTTGCCTGCAAAACAGTTACCATCCCTCTATATGCAAAATCCAGCCTCTCCCACTCCAAAGGAGGTACTCAAGGAAGGCCACTTGGTTGTCATTATTCACAGGCTTTGATATTCACCATCTGTGGTAATTTACTACAATAATCTATTAACCAAAATAGTCTTCTAAATCACTTCTTGTTTGTTTAGGGTTGTCTTGAGCATAATCTCCCCCAAAGAAGATGAGTAACCAACACAAAGAGTGGTTCTGTGTCTCTGAACCCAATTTCTGAGGATGTTCAGAACAGAAACTCCAATCTCTCTTCTGGTTCTACAAGGATTAGCCTCTAGAGCTGGCAGTTTGAGCTCAATACTGCTTCATTTTGCTTGCTGTTAAAGATGTGAATAGAATTAGCAGGTTTAGATTTTATAAAGGAAAAGAAAAGAATCTACATTTTGTTCTCATATTAACAACACCTGTAAAACGGTAGTTTCTCCAGGCTATTTTTTGGCATATGGCTTTGCAATAACTATCCCTTCAGGAATCTTCTTGGGTCTAATGTGAACTCTGGCACGTTCTCATACTGGTTAGAATATCTGTAAAATATCACATAGAAAACTTTCATCTCACTTTCCGACAACTATCTAGGATCACTTAGGTTCAAGTTGAGTCCTCAAAGAGCAAATGGGTATTACCTCCTAAGCAGTGTATGGCTAGATGGACTAGCTGAGCCCCTGTATTGAGGCCTTGTTTCCACACACTGCTTAATTAAAAAAAATCAATTTATCCAAGAGGTCCTCTTTATTTTAATAGTTGGTAAGATTTTATTAATGGCATGTGATGCATGGAACTCTTTAAAAAAAATCAACATTTTTTATGCTTGAACCATTTTAATCCATAGACTATCTCTATGCAAAATTACTTGCAGAACAGATTTTCATTGTCCTTAAAATTATTTGCAGTTAGAAGAAAATCTTGGGCCTAATTCAACACCTTTTTTGGCAGTAGGTGGGGAAATGGGGAAGCTCTGTCCCATATTCATTTCATTTTCAAGTTAGCACCCTTGGCAGCATGTCAGTATCTTCAGCTTTTAGTGATCATATATATTTTTTTGTGACTTTATATTTTGTTATTAAAAATAAACATTTACTATATTTGCAGCTAGATAACATAGTACTTGATGAAAAACAATAGCACTTCAGTTCATTTGGACTCACTTTCTATTTACCTTGCATTAATGTAAATGGCTTATTCCCTATCCTAATAACTTGCTCTAGGGATGCATATAGAATGGCATATTGACAAATTTTGCTATTTCACGATGCAATCATACAATATTTTTTGAGAAAATTTTTGTGTACTTATCCTATAATGGACCACACAGTTGAAGTATTTTTTTTATATCTCCTGCTGCTTTGTCAATTGGAATAGTCAGCCAAAGGAAAAATGAAAAACAGTAGACTTGGAGTCTTAAGCAAATTTTTCATTCTCAGTTTTGTATTTGTGTTTGAAACAGATCTGCTAGAGACCACTTGCTTAACAAATGGACGGCACACACTCAGGGTCATCAGATATAAAATCAAATTCCAACATACTAAAAAAGTAAAGAATACATTTGACAGAAATTACCTTTGCTTACAAAATTTATTACGTACAATCTGCATATTTTTATTGGACCAATAACTGTCCTCTCCATTTACAAAAACCAAAAAGAAACCTGACGGATAAGTAATATTCCCCCCAACCTCCTGTAAGTGCAACATGTGTAGTTCCAAGTTTTTAACGCTTATCTCAAGGTCCTGGGTCTCCACTTACATTACACTCTATTCACTGCTGTTATCAAGCTAAAGTAAAGAAAAGCAAATTAAGTCTGTAGTTTTCACCAAGAGGTTGAAGGAATCATCAATGCCAAAAGCAACGTTACTGATGACGAGGACGTGGAAAGAGTGTGGAGGGTTGACTGAGCACTAGTGATTTTCCCACCTGTGGAAAAGAGAAGCATTATATGGACAAAATTATTTTGGTTTTGCTTGAGCTAGAAAAGAGTTGTTTTAGGTATGTTAAGATAAATGAATGCAACATCAATCCTCTTTCTGATGACAGCGTTCCTTGTGCTTATGAAACAAGATGTTGTCTGGGGTTCTCAAAAGGTATATGGAGGGCAGAAGTGTATATGGAATATTGTGTTAAAAAGGCTGTGTCGTGTCAAACAAATACACCTCATCAGGAGATTCAGTATAATTTTCAACATGATGCACTGATGGAAAATATCCCAAATTCCAGGTATGAAAATAAAATAATTTCTATTGTGCACAGTTCAGGAAATGGAGTAAAAATAATTAGCAAAAGTTTGTGGCAACAAGAATTCATAATTTATTTATTTTTATTTTTTTAAGTAAATTTTTAAATTTAATAATAAACTATTAATTTATTTAATTTACTTACGGGTCCTTGATTGATTTGACTGTTTCAATTGAGCAGGCTTAAATTATAGGTTCTCATGCCAAACTTGGTAAAGAAAAGGCATCTTTCATTAATCTTACCTCTACCCAGGAGAAGTTCTTCCTTCTTGAGACAAAAGCATTGTATACAGTTAATGTATTAGGGTGGTTGCTTGATCAAACTCACTGATTTGAATGTATTAGTCTGAAGAAGTTTTGATAGCTCCATACATTCACAAACTAAGTACGACCCTTAGACCTAACTTCAGGAATGGTTCTTCAAGCCAGAGGTCTTTGGAAGTATCATCATCATGATTGATATTTAATGAATGCTTATTATATGCCAAGTACTGTACAAAGCCCTTCATACACGTTATTTAATTTGATCTTCACAACATTCCTATGTAGTAAGTGCTATTATTTATCCTCGTGTTGCAGATGGTACCAGGACTTAAAAAGATTATAGAAACTTGTTTAAAGTCATTGAGCTAGGAATTAGTGGAAAGAGATGCTTTTATATATTGTCTCTATTAAAACAATGATTGGCCTTGATTAAAACCATGATAGACTAATAATAAAATGTATGAATTGATTTTTGGAATTATTCTTCTGTCACGTTATCCTCTCTGACCAGACTGAGTGTAACAGAATTCTGGGTGTGATTTTTGTTACAGGATAGAGTCTAAATTTATTTTTCAGATGCTTCTTTAAGAGCTGAAGAAACTTTTGTTTGATAAACTAAACATATACACACTCTAAAAGCAGCAAATCTTCTTTCCTTTGAAAACTGTTACAGCTACGGCACTAATAAAAGCTATTATTCAACATATTGGGGAGTGTTACATATATTTCAACTTGTACAAAATGGGGTCATTGTGAAGTGCATGGCCACACGTGAGCTACAAGAAAGGCATGATGACAAAGCCTCACTGGAGTGGTATGTGCATGCTTAATAAATGACTGTGAAAACATTCTTTCTGTTTATTTGAGAGTAGCTGCATCCTTGTTAAGTCAACTTACATGATATTTTTACAAAAAACCCCTCACTTTCATAATGCTAAGTAGGATATATATCTCAAATTCCACATAGAATCCACAAAGCAAAAATATGCTATTTCAGCATAGCAAAACAAAACAAAAACAACAACAAACATTGGACTAAGTTCTAGTCCCAGATATAAAACTAACTAACTATTTCACTTGAGCAGGTCATTCAACTTCTTAGGCTTTTGGTTTTTGGAAAAAGATAAGAAAGAAATCAATCGTTGCTCATGTTTTATCGGTCTAAGAAAATACCATGAGATTTCACTTCATTAAAACTCAGGAAATGGGTTGTACTGGCTAAAGTGTTTTATTAACTAAAACATAAAAGTTGATAATTTTTTTTTTATGGAATAGAAGTTACAAGTTAATTAGAATGTAAATGGGAGAATCAAGGTGTTTGTAAGTACTTTCAATCTTGGGGATGATATTATTTGGATGATACTTTAGAATCTGATTGTGTTACAGTTGAAAGGAAGCTTGGAGAGCCAGAGAATAATAAAATACTTAACTCATAAGTTTGCTAGGAGAATAAAATAAAATGACATATAGAAAACAGCTAGCACAATGCAAAGAACATGACCAGAGTGCAGTAAATGCTCTTTGTATTGTTGTTATTAGAAACTTAAGACTTATCAAGCAGGCAGAGAGTTGTCATCTTTTTCACTTTTCAGAAATAATCTTTAGTTCTTCAATGTGCTCTTGAAAATCTGAACATTTCAATTGTGAATGAATCAGTGTAGAGACATTATTACCTTTCTTGCTCTTGAAACTATAATTTTATAAATAAATCATAAAGTGTATTAAATATTGTGTGACCACAATGTATTTAAGTTCTCAGGTCTTTTCACCTGAATTTCTGAAAAAGTCAGATTTTCTGTATCGTGTGATTTTTATTTTTAAATGTTCATTTTGAAATAATTTTAGATGTATAAAAAGTAGTGAGAATAAAATAAATAATTCATCCAGATTCCTTAAATGTTTATGTTTTATCTTCTTGCTCTATTATTCTCTCTATAAATACATACGTTTATTTCCTGAACCATTTGAAAGTAAGTTGAAGACATGATGTACCTTTACCCCTAAATACTTTAATGTGCAGATCTTAAAAATAAGACATTTTCTTGTATACCACAGTACAACTTTTAAAAACAGGAAATTAATGTTGATATAATATTATCTAATTTACAGACATTATTCAAATTTATCAATTGTCCCAATAATGTCCTTTATCTCATCTTATATGTTTATGCAAGAATTTACTTACCAAGTATTATGGCAACAGCTTTTCCTCAAAGTTTCAGTCTATCATATTATTTTCTCCACTATGTTTTCCTTCTATCTCACTTTGTGGCATCAAAAAACAATCATAAGAAATGTCTCTGGTCTTAACCTAAGTTGAGCAATACATTGAATATAATAAAGCCACATTCAGAATTCTACAGAATATCATTGGATACTTCCCTTTAGGTTGATGCTTCTGCTTGAGAATGACTGCTCAATAAATAATATTCATCATTACCTATAATTAAATGTACATTAAACATTTTTATACAAGGCCTTAATAAAAATTGCCCAATATTTTCTCAATGAGACATTTGTTTAATGAAATATTTTCCTTTCTTTTTTGACTATCTCAATGAAATGACTACTTTCTTCTGAATTTGCAAAAATCTCCCTTCCTTTAATCAGTTTTCTCTTGCTGGTGTAATGATGGCAGTGGGGTTGAATTCTGGTTCTTCTACTTAGTAATAGTGTGATCTTAGGCAAGTTACTTAAATTTTCTCTGTAAAACAAGAATAATGCAACCTACCTCATAGATTGTTAAGAGGATTAAATAAGATGATGTAAGTAAAGCACTTATGACCGTGCCTTACATATAGCAAGGGCTCAGTCAAAGCTAGAAATTATTAATATTACTAATAATAACAATGATGCTCAAATAAGTTCTAGAGATCTAATATATAGCATAGTGATTGTAAGTAATAAAACTGTAATATATACTTGAAAGTTGTTAAGAATGTAGATTTTAAATGTTCTCACTACAAAAAAGAAATAGCAGTTATATGATGTGATGGAGGTATTAGCTATATTTTTGCAATAAATCTGTGTACATATTTGCAATATACAAGTGTATCAAATCAACTGTTGTACACCTTAAACTTATACAATGCTATATCTCAATTATATTTCAATAAAGCTGGAAAAATAAAAAAAACCCAAACAAAGATATTCAATGAAATTTATAATTTATTTTGAAATCAATAAACATAATCAAATTTTAATTTAAAAAGCATTCCCTTTAAACTTTCCTGTCCCTCACTTTCCATTATCTAATAATAAAGGCAATCATGACAATAGAGAAATGGGTATAATATATTAAATTAGTGCAATACTGGTTAAAAGCAATATTGAAAAGCACAAATGACCAGCAAGACACTACTTGAGATCAGGATAGAAAGGGGAATTTCACAAATAAAAATATTTTAATGAAAATGTTAACTCTTTTCTAGATTTGTAGAAATTCCACAGTTGTGAGTGGGCTGCCATGGTTTGTATTAATTGAAGGATCATATAGCAAATCAGAGTAAAATAAGAGAAAATTCAAAGTCTCTGAATCATGCAGTCCATCGTGTTAATTTTGATGAGTTTTACACCATCTTAATATTGTTAGTGGTTATCAAATTAAGCCTATTGTGTCAAAACTTACCTGAATATGATGAGACCCTGATTTGGGAGCTAGCGGTTCCATCCCCTCCTTCACTGCATGCTCGAACTTCAATAATATAGACTCCAGCATCAGGGAGCGGGACTACTGCTTGAGGTTTCTGTGTTTCAATAATTTGACTGTTGCTGTGACCCTCTTGCCTATAAAATACCTGGGAACAATATCAGATGTTTAAACGTTTGATATTCAATCAAGGATTTCAAATGTTTATTGACTGCCTTCTGTATGTCACATTCTGAGCTAGATACAGGGAGCTTACAGCTTAGACAGATATGTAAGTAAATGCAATGTATGTGTTATATGCAGCTATGGAATATACATAAGGGACTATGGGAATACAAAAGAGAGAGTTTAATTCTGTCTGGTGGTTTAAGGAAGGTTTTTAGGAGAAGGTGATGCTGAGTTAAGTATTTAAAGATAAGTAGAGTTCACCAGTTGGAAAAGGCAGGAAAAAAAGTCTACAAAGAGATAAGAGAAGATTAAAAATACATCTAAGCAATAAGAAAGCAATAGCATTAGAAGACATTTGGAAATAGTGAGAAATTGAGGCTAGAGAAGTAGGTAGTGAGGGGGCAGATCATTGAAAGTCTGTTATTCCTGGTTCTTGAAATGAATAGCATTCTGAGGGAGTACTCAAATCTGTCATCTTCAAATCATTTGAAAGGAGTAATCAGAAAATTTGTTAAATACATCAATAATAAATCCTTGACAACGTAGAAGATAGCTGAAAGCTTAAAATTATATTGAGTATTTTTATTTTTACTTTTGTGTTTGCCTTTTGGTAAATTGGCATTTGGATATATTGGGTAGCCAAGTTGTTTTTTGACATCTGTCCATGGTACTAGAATTGAACATGTATTCATGGCAAACAGAGTTTTATAACTACAGATTAGGACTCAGAATTGTCCTGTGTTTACAGGTCAGAAAACTAATGTCATAGAGATTATATGATTTATACAAGATCATATGGCTAGCTGTAGAAGGAATTGCATTGGAAGATTAGTATTCAGATGATCAGTTCAGAGGTGTTTCACTGTATTATACTGTTTCTACTCATTTGCCCCCAATAAACTTTGTGTGTGTGTGTGTGTGTGTGTGTGTGTGTGTGTGTGTATATAATGGTCAAGTAGCAGCAGTTAAGATTTTAAATGCATTTGCATTGTTTCATTGTTTTAGTGCTTTTATCATAATTGTGAGTATTATGATTGCTTTGCATAATGGAGAGAACACTGGCTTTGCAGTCTCACAGATCTGGATTCAAAACAATCTCCTACAGAACAAAACAAAAAACAATCTCCTACACATTCCTGTCTGAGCAAATTTGAGCAAGTTACTAACTTTTCTAAATCTGAAGTGCCTGTACAGTATAGTAGAGATAATAACACCTATTTCATGGTTTTGTTAGGAAAATGCATGTAAAATGCCTAGCACAGGACCTGGTAAGCTTAGTAAGAGAAAGCGACTTTTTCTGTTGCTATTATTGTTCATTGTCAATGGTCAGTATTTCATTTGCATCATAAAAGATGAACTTCCTTGGGAGACTAGACAAAAATTTATAATACTTTTTGTTTATTAAAAATGTGTTTTGGGCTTCCCTGGTGGCGCAGTGGTTGAGAGTCTGCCTGCCCACGCAGGGGACACGGGTTCGTGCCCCGGTCTGGGAGGATCCCATGTGCAGCGGAGCGGCTGGGCCCGTGAGCCATGGCCGCTGGGCCTGCGCGTCTGGAGCCTGTGCTCAGCAATGGGAGAGGCCGCGGCGGTGAGAGGCCCGTACCACAAAAAAAATTTTAGAAAAGTGTTTTGAACTTGAACTAACCTACATACAAGAAAAAAATACTTTAGAAAAGTAATATTTTCATATATTGAAGCGTGCCCGTACTCGATCCTCCTTTCTGCATTCTGGTAAAGTATGCTGCCTCCATTTACTTTCTCTATCTTTCATGAATTTAAATTTACTTTGGAGTCTTGGGAGAGAAGTAAATTCTCTGTAAAAGTATAAAATATGTGCAATAATTCTATCTACTGAAATTCTTATAGGGAAGGATGCCATAGGTTTAACATAGTTGGGAAGTGGCAAGAGCAACATCAAATATTTTACTGGGTATCTCATGTGAGTTAGGCACAGTGCTATATACTGGAGATTCATCAGAGAATAAGACTATATGGTCCCCTCATGGCACTTACAGTCTTAACAGTGGAGACAGATAAACAGTGCAATTGAGTGTGCTGTGTTCTGCAGTAGGAAACATATTTGATGCTATAGCCACGTACAGAGTGGTACAGATTTGGGAATCAGAAACATTTCTAGGAGGATGCCTATAGCACGTTCTTTTGGCTTTAAAAAATGAAAATTGTATCAGAATTTATGCCTCTCATTTTGACTGTAGCAGCATACTGAATTAGAATTCTGTTCATCCACATGAGGTAATTAGAAAGCAAATTTATGGCAACAAAAAAGTATGTAAATTGGTGAGGATTGGCAGGGGAGTGACTATTTTAGAGGACGTTGTTATTATGGTTCAATAAATTACAATTCTTATGACAAAGAAAAATGCAGGCAATAATGCATATCTAATGTGGCTGTAAAATCCAGAGTTGAAGAAAAATGTGTGGATCAGTTGAGATTTGGGAACAAAGGTAAAGGCAGGAAAATATCAGTTAATGATAGCAAAAGAAGTTTGAGATTAAATGTGGCTTTAAACAATACATCCAGAGAGATGTAGTGCTATGAGTCAGTAAGTAGGTATACTAAGTGAAAAGATGCATTAAATTAATGGTTAGTCTTGCGTGATTTAGAGAATCTTTGCTCATTTTAAAGTACTGATTTAGAAGACATGACTCGAATGAGAAATATGAGAAGGTTAAGGAGTTATCAAGACATGTCAGAAATAGTTATTGACAGTAAGAAGACCAGGGAGTACTTTGAGAATTTGGACATTTATAGATTGGAAGTTGCAATGATGGCTATCTCTAGGCATAAAGAAAATTGTCTATTGTCAAGACTATTCTCAAATTCTACTTAAAAAACTTAGCCAAAGAGATGATCCTAAACAAAAATTTAGTGCAGTCCTGTTATTCTCAAAGGCATGATCTAGAAATGGCTAGTTTACATGTCTGATAGTAACAATAATGGTGTGAGTGTGCCTAAAAATATAGCAGAATAAATTTTTGCTAGTTTCACCCACAAGTGTCATTGGAAGGATGGATCCTATTCAATGGAAGGGCTATTCACTTGCTTAGCATCTTGGGTACAATTGTTCTTCACAAAAGTGGGTGAGGGATCCAAAACTCCAGTGGCAATGGGTGGGTGAGGAGGAATCAGCAAGATAGTACAATCTAGGTGAAAATAAGGTGGGAGGCTCAAGTACCAGTGAGAAGCCACAAGCTGTAGGGTGACTCCAAGGACTTTTAAGAACAGGAGTTCCTATGGCAATTTTCAGATGTTTGTTTGTATGCTGTGCCTTTCACTCTATCTCCCACTGACATTTCCATAAAGTCTTCCTTGTATGTGTATATACTTGACATTATACAAGCCATTTCTGTTTTAATCTTTAAAAAATATTTTATGATGAAAACATATAAGCATAATCAAATATAGAAATGATGGTATAAACCATTATATATGAGTCTTTTTAACTTGTAGGGATCACAGGAAAGAGGCAGAGTCCCATATTTGGAGTAAATATAAGATAAAGTAACAGCTGTAAGATACAAGAAATCAAGGAGACCAGAATGGCCACAGACCTTAGGCTCCCTGAGAAGCTGGAGAAATATAGGGATGGACTTCAAAGTTCCACAGGCTGTGGAATACAATTTCAGTTCAAGTGTACCTATAACTCAGGAGTCTGGCAGGCCCTAATTGATATCTAAATGGAATAAACAAACAAAAATTTCTGTCTATATTGATGGATCATATAATAACTAGTAAGCTTTGAGCCTGATTTTCCCCATATTCTCCCTAGCTCTATAAATATCAGAAAGTAGAGGTGAGGGAGAAGATGTATGGTGAAGAGGTTATATATCCAGGAAAGGATATTTCTAGATATAGACAGAAAAAATGAGACCCTGTTTTCTTGATATGTAGCCTGAAGCCCTATCCTGAATTCCCTCTGAGTGCTTTTGTCTTCTGAATGGACAGAAGTCTGTCTTGGTGGGGAAGGGGATATTTGCACAAGGGAAAGCATAGCCCCTGGATATTTAGCATTTATTTTCTCTTTCACTTAAGTTTAAGTCTGTATAAGGAGAATAAGGTGGGGATAAGATGGCTGTTTTACTTTATAATCTTGGTAAGTTTCTTTCACAGTACAAAGAAAAAAAATTCTCCATTCTCAAGATCATTAAGGAGAATTATGGCTAAATATACTTTAGTTTTGTTATTGGCATTTCTTTGGAAGTGGTAGTAACAGACATAACATGTGCCAAAATTAGTAAGGATTCTAGATTCAGATTCCAAGCTAGTGGAGTCATAAAAACAAAGTTTTCTTCATTTAAAAATACTTATTTGAGAAAAATAAGTTAAATTAGGAAATTTCTTTGAAGTTTTTGTTCCACTTTCCTGATTATATATATATATATATAATTATATAAATATATATAAATATATATATATAAATAATATGCAGCTAATCTGAATTGGGAAATGTAAAATAAAGTCAAATATTAAAATGACCTGAAGAAGTGATGAATATGCTAAATAAACTCCCAAATTTGACTCATATTTTTAGGTGGGAAGCTATTTTGTTTGAGTGGAAATAATTTGTAGCCATGTCTATAAATGACAATTATTTTCCAGCATTTTTCTTGTTCTTCATGCTTCTATTCCTCTTGCTTGTTAATAGAAGCTGTGATATCTTAAAAGTATTACTTTTAAATCTGGACTTCTTAAACAAAATCCCAAGAAGTCCAAGTTCTCTTGGACAGTCTCAAAGAGCAGTGAGAAATTTCAGTACTAGCTATTTCTATTTATCTGAATAGATTCAATTTTAATGTGTTTCCTGTGACACTGTCATATATGGTTCAATTCCATTGTTCTTTCACTATAATCTTGGTCACTTTTGAAGTCCCTGATAAGATGTTGTGGTAGGGAGACCTTCTTTTTCTCTTAACACCTTTGAACCAAATTTCCTTTGTTATTGTATCTTTCTCTGGTAATATCTTGTCCTTATGTATGTTGCTGACACCTCAATCTGTGGAATCAAGTAAAGGAATAAGATTCATGCTTCCTTAGAAAATGGGTTGGTCTAATTCCAAGCTCTGCTGTTTTATCTTATTATCTTATGTTTTTTTTGTGGTTTATTTTTTTGAGAATAAATTGCATCTAGTATATAATATCTTAACTATAAAAAAGAATAGTTTAATGGATTATTTATGGATCAAGCCTATGGAACAAATCCATTTTTCTCCATATTTATCACATTTCAATCATTTTCACAATCTGGAAAATTTCTAGATGAGGACTTTTTCTTAATTCATCCATCTTAAACTGGACTTGATATAAAACATGGAATATACAATCCCTGCACTTTAAACCTCAGGCATTAACTCCTAGTTTCCAGCTTCAAATTTACATACCATGTATATTTCTAGTGATCTCTTTTGATTTTACAAGCAAAGTAACTTGGCCAGGACAAAAAGTAAAAATAAATTTACTTTCCTTTTGATATTGCAATTAATTGTGGAAGTTCTCTTTTGCCCTGATTAGCAGGAAATCCTCTACTGCAAATTTTCCAAGAATCTCAAGAGGCAAACTTAGTCTTAATACAGCAAGCTTACCTCAAATTACCTCATGGAAAGAGAAAAGATTAGTGTGTTGACATGTCCCTAATTTTGTTAATTTTTTTGTGACAGCCACACACAATTATGTTTAAGAAGATGGGGCTCTTAAGAGTGGTGCCACTCTTGGTCTGGCAGTAGTTTTTTGGGGATGTAGTAGGAATCAAAGTCTTCTCCCTCTGAGTACCATACTAGCCACTCCATATTTGTGTGAACCTCCCTCCAGATGGTACAGCTCTTTCACTGCATGCAGATCCTTGCCTAAGGCTGTAGTAGTTCTCCTCCGACTCATGCACAGAAAAGGGGGCTCCAAGCTTGTGTCCTCTGGGTTCCATCTCTTTAGTAAATATTCACAGCTACTGTTCCTAATCATATTCCTGTTCCATTATGCCTGTGTCAATAGGAGCTTTCATGCTTAGTCACCTGCCCTGTGAAAACCAGACCTTCCCAGGAGAATCCAGGCTCTATGTTAAGCCTCAATCATCAATCTGAAGTCCCCTTTCCCTCACAGGGCACTTTGTCTCATTCCTGCCAGTAGGTCTCTAACTGGGGATTAGCCCATACATCAGAAGTTCTAATAAGGTTTAGTTACAAAAGAACAGGCTTTGAGGTCTCACTCCATTTGTTATCAGCAGAGTCCTTTCTTAGGAACTAGATTTTCCTTCTCAGGGACATAAGGAGGTGAGACCATTTCAAGGAAATAAAAGAAAAAAATCCTCTGTCAACATGTACCTACTTGTCATTATTTATACAACTAAGATGGACCATGTTAGTGATTACCTCCTCCACAACAATGTATTCCAGGTGACTTGTGCTGTCTTCATTGAGACAGAACTGGCAGGCAACTTTTAAAGATCAGTTTCTTCTGTTAAAATATTTGAAAATTCCACCTTACTAGGTGGAATTCTTCCAATAACAATAAGAAAGACAGTAGCTATTTTTCAATGAGCACTTCTTATATGCTAAGCATTTTACACAAATTATCTTACTTAATCCTTAAAATAATCTGTATAATATGTTATCATTATTTTTGCATTTTTTTGAAGTTAAAATGATACTCAAGTTAAGCAACTAGCTCAAAGTTACAAAACTGGGATTTGAACTCAAGTCTGTCTGACTCAGAAGCCAGTTCTCTTTTCCCATTCCACCACAACACATGGGAAGGCCATGATAGGAAAAACACACAGCTGATAATACACACTTGTGAGTAATTGCATAAAATACCTCAAGTTGGGTCAAAAATTAATTTATTCATCCACTCTAGAAATGTTAGGGATAAAGAGATGAGTAAGACAGAGGCCTTGCTTTCAATCATATGTAAACAGCGTGGGGAGACAGTCACATGTAAAGAGGTGAGCAATGACAGAAGTAGAAGTGGCAAATGCGAGCAGCAAGGAGGGTCATCCCAACTCGGAGCCCTATGCCGAGGCTCATGTATTTTCCATGTGGTATGGTATTTCTTTTCTCACCTGAAAGGTGCCTGAAGCCAAATGGCTCTTCTAGGCAGTCATATGCTTTTATCTAGCTCTTTCTTGCATCTATTTGCCTCTCCAGTTTGGGAGATTGCTTGCTAGAGTTCTAATGACATTAGATTGGTTCTCGGATGGTCCATCACCATTTCTGGCCAGACTGCTACCCTTAATCATTGAAGGGTATCTTTGTCTTAGAATACAAGTTGTGAGGATGAGGGGAAGGATGTGGAAAGAAGAGGACTAAGAGAAGGATAGAGAAGATGGCACATCTGCCCTCCCCGCAAAGATCAAATTCAATACCCACGCGGATTAGGACAGATTTGAGTGTGAGTGTTTAATTGTGAGGATGTCTATGATCCATACCAATCATAATCTGTAAGAATTGCTACAGTTTGTGCCTTAAGATATTCTTAATGGGAATTATCTAACTTAAAAATATATTCCATTTATAACTTTTTCAGTGTTTAGCTTCAGAATTTTAGCACTTTATATACAAAGTGCTGTGTTACCATCTCTGATAGTTAAACATTCACCTAAATGATGCTTTTCAGTCAAATATGATCATTGAAATTTTTTAAAAAATCTGCTATAAATAATATTCCACTAATGAATCAGTATGAGTTTAAGACAATAAACAGAATCTGATGTTATGGAAAAAGAATTTGAAATTCAGCCAATTCAATATATTGACCACATATTTTAAAATCAGAGACAAAGCTGTTTTTCAAAAACAAACTGCCTAAACATTTTTATATTTGCAGATCTCTTGCTGGCACATAGCAGGATGACCATATGTGAAATGTATCTATTTTGGAGCTTGCTGTCTCTCTCCATGGTCTCTTTCCTATCCCCTGTGCTGACGCTAGCATTTTTTCTTCTTGTGTTTCTTTGCTAATGGAAAGTCTTTATACTCAAACTATGTGGTCCAGTCTTTTCCATCTGCCAGGACAGTTTGTCTTTGGGAAGAGAATGCCAAGACTCTCTAAGTTCTGCTTGTCCTGACACTGTTTCATGAGCCATTTTTACCCTGTATTCAAATTGTTGTTGTCTTTCCTACCCATTCCCTTCTTGTGCCTTGTGTAGCTGAAACTGATTTTGATTGCCTTGGATTCCCCACTGCAGGAAGGCTCTTTCTAAGATACAGGTAGAAAAATGATTGAGAAAAAAATAGGTATGTTAATAGGTCTTTATACACCTTTTAAATTACACATCCTCACATTAGCAATTTTTTAGATGAGAGTCTATCCAAAGAGTGGAAAAACACTGACCTTGTAGCCCATGACTTCAGACTCGTTGGCTAATGGTCTGACAGGTTCCCAGTCCAGAGAAAGCTGAGAGCCTTGCTGCTCCCACCTGAGGTTGTTAGGTGCTTGACTGGGGGCTACAAAATAAAAAGCAAAAGTGAGTGGACGAAGAGTCTTAAATACATTTATTCACTTAAATCCTTGTATTTCAGTCTTTTCCTGTGTTCAGTCTTTTCTTGTGAGTATATCAGTCTTTTCTAGTTGACTGGCACCATAGGCTTCTTTCCAGCTAGAGTCAGATAAGGAAGGTTTTGCTCCAGGAGTGTCATTTTAATAGCTACTCTGCTGAGTTTTTGAACCTGAATCCTTTTATCTCCCTTCTGTGTCAAAATCGCTTAGCCTTGTTTCACAGGAAGGTAACCCTTATCTACTATGAATACAAAATTTTCTGAGCTAGTTTTGGAATTCAGATCTAAGCATGAAGCAAGACTATAAATCAAAACTCCTCTTCAACTCTGCTTTTTATGTACCTCACATGGCTTTCAGAAATGTTAAAAGATGTTTCCCTTTTGTCTGAAACAAACAAAAAGCCCAGGTCACTTACGGGATTTCTTTGTGGTTGCACTCACTTCACTGCTAGGTGGCCCATATCCAGCTCCATTATAAGCTCTCACTGTGAAGTGATATAATGTATTTCCTTCTAATCCTGTCAGGATGACAGATGACTCATTCCCCCTAGTTTTGATGGTTTCTGCTGCATCTTCTTGTTCCATGTCTTTCCTATAGCCAATCTGTCAACATGAAAGATTAATTTTAAAGTTTCTCCTGTGCTTATGATTGTTGATTTTTTTTTTCCCTTTGGATGTTTCTCAAACCCATCCCTGGGAAATCACTCCTGTATCATCCAATTAACAGGTTCTACTAATGAGGCTAAAATCACTATCTTGGCCACTGCATGATTTGCAGCTGTGTAAACTGCAGCAACTTAGCAAAGCAATGAAAGGTGCTACCTTGTAACCTGGTAGTATGAAGAATCATTCAAAGAAATTGAAGAAGTTCTTTTCTCATAGGTCATCAGAACCAGTTCCCATTCAAAGCCATGGGGCTTTTAATGAATTATTTGAGAAAGAGGCATGAGAAATATTTCCTCCTGGGCCCCACACAAAGGTGAATCACACAGCTGGATGCATTTAACAGAGGAGAGGCGACAGAACACTCATGTTAATTTGGAATGGTTTAAATGCAGAGAAATGGCTTTGCTAGGATATGGGAGGGTGGCAGAAGGGAACAGCTCTTTGTCAAAGCACAATTTGTGCATTGAGGTGATCTTCCCTGGTTATGAGCTCTTGGTGGCTGGTCTCATACAGATCTTGATCCCTTTATGAGATTCAATAATTATCTCTGTGTACCTAAAGCTTAACCTTATTCGGACCCTGGAATTTAACCATGCATAAAGGCACAAGAGAGTAGTTTTTTTTCCCCCTACTTATTTACTGCGGTAAAAATAATGGAAGAGTGATTCTTCTTTCTCCAATTAATTACTGTGGTGAAAGAAGTGGACTGCTGCAAACATTTCATCATCCTTCAAGTGCTTTTTCTACTCTGCAGGCTAGAAAACCAAACATCACATTTTCCAGATTCTGGCTTACCTAAGGTTGATGCTACAAAATTTGGGCAGTGAGGAGTTTGTTTGGAACTTGAGATATTCTGGAGCATGCCTAGGACTACCAGTACCTTGGGGCCGTAGGAAGTCACTGTAGGCTCCTACCTCTCAGGAAAAAAACATTTGAGTCACTGTACCATATGAAAATGCATCTACCAGCCTAAATGATGGCTAAAGACAAAGGGTGTAAGAAATGGGTAGAGGGGGAAGAAAGTTACAAATTATAACTGCAGCCTTATGAAATGAAGACTGTAAGAGCCATATTTTCTTCCTTATACTGTTTTATATCTAAATATTAAATAACCTGGGTCCCTTCCTTTCTTGTGATAGAGTGTTGTGGGTAGGTAAATTTCTAATGTAGTTCATTACAGGAGATGGACAGACTGACTAATGGAAATTTCCTTGGCTTTCCCTTTTAGGGAGATTGTGGGTACATTTTCATTTGTTTAAGAGATATTTGCACAATGGAGCATTGTCATTGCCAGTTGTTGCTTTTGGGGAGTTGTTGAATGGGGAGAAGGATGTGTATGGATGTTGAGTAACCAAAGGGATATGGTACTTTAGCTTTCAGCATCCATTTCACCCTCATTCTAGTGTCTTCCTGGACTTAAGAGATGCAAAGATAAAAATCATACTTTCAAGACTCCCTTGCAGTTAGGGCTCTGAATATGTTTTAGGCTTAACCAGTCAGATGCCATGCCTGGTATTTGAAAGTAAAAATGAGATGGAGAGTGAATTTCTACAAATTCTGTTTCTTTTGCCTATGAGTTTAGTAATGGAGATATTATTTTTCGTTTCCCCTCCACCCCTTGACTGGCAGCAAAAATGAATGGCTTATTGTCTAACCATTAGCTTTATGGGAGTCAAGGAGCCAGGCACAAGACATCCATCTTATTGGTGCAAATTATAGCAAACATGGCAGGATTCTGGAACAGGCAGTAATAGCAGAGACTTCCAGATCACAGAGGCTTCCTGAATGGGGTGCCATTTTGTTCATGGTGGCTTCCAAACCATGGCAGTGGAGTGTGGGACTAGGGCTGGAGATTTCCTGCTTTTAGAAGACATCAGTGTCTTCCTGGTGTCTTAGTCTTATTGACTAGCTTTAACAGTTACTTTTGAAAGATCACCCTGGAGTCTGGTAATTTAACTCAATAATTCTGTAAACCATTTAATACTTATAATAAAACACTTCTTACTTAAACTAGTTAGAGTAATTTAGTTCTTTGCAATTAAACACTGCCTGAAACACCTACACAGATCTTGAATATGAATCTATATCTATATCTATATCTATATATATATGGTTAATAAGATAATCATAATCAAATTTCTATTTCTCATCCCTGTCTCTTCATAGATTTGACCTGGCATACAGCTGAGTGACTGAACTTCAGAAATTTGTTTGATTAAGCTGAAATGCTCTAACACTGCCTTCTGTACTATGTTTGCCCCATTAGTCCCAATTCCAAGAACTAACTTATCTTGCTTGGTCTTGAGCATACTTTTAACTGAAGAAATCTAAGTTATTTTCAAACTACAAAATTTGATGAGATGTTGTTGGATGAACAAATGTGTATCTTTCTCCTTCCCAGTGATATATCTGATTTCTAGGTCTCTGCTTCAATTTAGGCAATAATCTAGCCAATTTTCTTTAATTGGCTAGATTATTTTAAGTTAGTTAAATATATATATTTGAGGGAGTTGAGTGTGATTAAATTCAGCAAATTACAGATTTTGATACAAACACAGATTTCAATACAAATTCTGGACTTCTAAATATTGAATTTTTTTTTAACATCTTTATTGGAGAATAATTGCTTTACAATGGTGTGTTAGTTTCTGCTGTATAACAAAATGATCAGCTATACGTATACATATATCCCCATATCCTCTCCCTTTTGTATCTCCCTCCCACCCTCCCTATCCCACTCCTCTAGGTGGTCACAAAGCACCAAGCTGATCTCCCTGTGCTATGCAGCTGCTTCCCACTAGCTATCTATTTTACATTTGGTACTGTATATATGTCCATGCTACTCTCTCACTTTGTCCCGCTTACCCTTCCCCCTCCCTGTGTCCTCAAGTCCAGTCTCTATGTCTGTGTCTTTATTCCTGTCCTGCCCCTAGGTTCTTCAGAACCATTTTTTTTTTTTTTTAGATTCCATATACATGTGTTAATATACAGGGTGTGTTTTTCTCTTTCTGACTTACTTCACCCTGTATGACAGTCTCTATGTCCATCCACCTCACTACAAATAACTCATTTTTGTTTCTTTTTATGGCTAATATTCCATTGTATATATGTGCCACATCTTCTTTATCCATTCATCTGTCGATGGACACTTAGGTTAAATATTGAATGTTTAATTTTCTGATGAATCACCACAAAATTAAACATCCCAAGTAAAAGATAAAATGTTTGGAAGTAACTGATTGTGAGAAAACACAAATACTAGTTGCATCAGGTAAAACCTGTGATAAATCTAAAAAGTCCACACATTATTCTCTTTCTGGCATATTGAAAAAAAGAGCTGGAGAAGTTATGACCTTCATAGTGAAATAATAATTTTATTTACTACATTTTTTTTTGATGGAGGATAGGGTAAATCAGAAAAACAGAAAAATATTTGGAGTTTAACATCGTGCTTATTTAGTGATTCTTAACTTGGAATTGAGATAATATAGTATTCATAAGTCACACTGCACCTCTGAAAGTTGAAAGTTCCTCTTCATTCAATTTATTTCTTCATGATTCAATTCTATCCTGATGATAGATTTTATCAACCTATAAACTTTGAACTCTGTATGAGATCACTTGAAATGAGGTTAAAAACATTTAAAAAGATATAAATATCTGAAACTGGAAGAATAGATAACCTGCTATTTTATCGCCCTCACACAATTGGGGATTTTTTTGTGTTTATCCCTTCCTGTATTTTTATTACATATAGTTAATATAATTATGTAACTACTTTTCTTCTCTAACATTATAGTCACATATAAATATTTTCCCATTTTTTATATCAATACTAAAAGTCTATCATATGCCTTGTGTACCAAATATCATTTAACCACTTTTCTACTGTGGAAAATTTGGGTAGCTTCCAACTTTTGCTCTCTTAATTAAAATGTTGCCACGAATATGTTCATGTACATTTTTTCCCACATATTGGAATAATTCCCCAGAATAGAATTCCAGACAGGTGATTATGGGGTCTAAGATTATTGAAATTTTTATGATTTTGACACAAAAATGCCACACTGGTTTTCAAATAGTTTGCACTAATTTTCACTTCCAACAAAAGTGTATGAATCTGAAAGATACGCCAAAATGTTTCAAGCTCTAGGCACATCATGGTTTTGGAGTCAGAAGGCCTAAATTTTAATCTTATTTTTGATATCTATAAGCTTCATTTAATGGGACAAGTTACTTAACCACTGAATCTCTATAACCTTGTTTATAAAAACCTCAGTTTTATGAATAGTTTTAGACAGCTCCCTTATTGTCACCCAACTACTTGAACTATTTTGTTTCTTGATGGCTTAACATTTCTGATTTTTGTAATTTGTGTTTACTTTTTTGCTATCCTTCATATTGTTTTGTTTTTTGACTTTGTTCCTCCAAATTATGTAATATTAATAGTGGCAGGCCGGAAGCATGAATTCTGAGTCAGCTGATAACTTTAAGTTTGTAGATTTGAACCTAAATCTAGATGGTTTTTCTTAGTAGATAACCTATTTTTTTCCAAAGTTGATTCTCCATAATGATGATTTTAACTAAACAGATAACATATTCAATTGTCTGATGTGATGATTCTAAGATATCCATGTCATACACAGTCTGGTTCCCTTACATGAAATTACAGGATCTAAAATCCATGAATGCTGCTATATGGAGTCAGTGGTTGCTGGATGAGCTATGAACTTTCCCCTACTTCCCAGTCTTCATTCAGTCATATATATAATCACTGAAGAATTCTTACTAGTATTTTATATTCTCCTGTCTGATTTTTGTTACCTGTTAGATTTTAAAAACACAATTCTTAGCTCCTGTATTCACTTGTTTTTATAATTTAAATTGCACTCAATGATCACTGCTCATTCAATAGTGTACTCCCTGAATTTAATAAA